CGAGAACGAGCACATGAGACGTTCTAGCGTTTGTTATAGAGCGACTGTTGAGATTAAGTGTATCGTAAAGTTGTATTCGGAAAGAATAAACCAGTTTTATTTAAGAAAGGACTTGTGTCGCTAAAGTTTCGTCGGAACGAATTTACGGAAAATCAATTAACAAACGGAGACGTAACAATATCTTCTGTTAACGTTTGTACGAGCTTGAAAACTAGTACAGTATCATAACTTGTGTAGGCCTACGTTACAAGGGACGTTAACCAACGTAAATCAAATCAACTTAATTGTACAAAGATCTCGACAAGAAAACACAGATACAAATATTTCACGAAAAATACATTTACTGATTCAACGCTATATCCTAAAGTAAACTCTATAGTGTCTTAACTATCTCGTTGAATATCTTTCAACTCACTCTCTAACTTACCTCTCGACGCTTCGCGGAATGCCAGGTTTATATTCTATACCTTTGTAGATAGTTTTATGGCTTACTTGATCTTAACTTTATTTGCCCTCTAGTTAACATCAAAATCATACAAATATAAACATTATAAATATAGCTTACAACACTAAAAACAACGTTTGAGATTTATCAAGGGTAACGTATATGTATGATTTGTGTGAATGTAACTTTTGTTTGTGTTTTTACCTTTTCTGATAATTATTTTGCCAATGTCGATATCACCAATTATAAAAAATAAATACATTCAATTTGATATTTTGGTGTAACGACAATACATGAAAGTATTGTTACTATCTGCTCGTTTGATAATTTCCTTAATTCCCGGTATAAATTCTTTCCGATGAACTTTAGCGATACAAGTCCTTTCTTAATTAAAACTAGTTTAATCTTTCTCGATACAACTTTGTAATACACAGAATTTCCAATGTCACTTTAAACTTAACAACCTTTATAACACATGCTATAAATCACAGTGGTTCACACACTTTACATACGGTGCCTACTGTTCGCTTGACTCAATTATCTATATCCTCAATCTATCTGCATATCTATCTATCGCTGGCTTTATTTGCCGAGCTTATATACTTAAAAAGAGGGCGCCTGGCAAACACTCGGACATTCGCGGGGTTTTTCGATAAGTCATGATCCTTTTAGAAACTCCAGTGCGCATGCTCCCAGCTTCGCGTGACTTCCGCTGTCGTAACAGTACATTAGAACTAAAAAATATTGCTAAGATATTTCATTCATACACGTTGATATTTTGTCACATATCACTTAAGTCACTATTCCAGTACACGAACATGTCCCATACCTTTATAATTTTCATTACTTTAGCAAAATCGAATATTATATAAATAAAGTTCTTACATTAGTTTCTGTGAATACGAGAGCATGATGTCCAGTGCTCTGGTCAGTCCATTGCTTATTCAGGCTACGAGTATTCAAATTTGACACCCTCAGAAGACACGAACAGATTTCTTTGCCAATTCCATGTATTCCAATCTTGAATGATTTCCGAGATAACATGTATTTTATAGAACACAAAAACTGATTTTCTATTTAATTTATCTTGTTGATTAGATACACAACCAGTAACTGTACGTCTAGTTCCGTATATCTGGTGTAACTTCTCTTTCGTACATAAAGCTTGAAATGTGGTTCCATTTATCTGGTCTAGTTCTGTTTTCGTATAAACAGAAAAATCAGACGTGCGTTCTCTGTGTTTGCTAACACAAAGGTTTCACTTACTTTCTAGCTTTCACATAACACCTTTTTTTTTATCTGTATTTCCTTGATGAAACACAAAGTGGATATTGAACTTATTAACCAAGTAGCTGACAGCAATAGACAAACTGACTATAAAACTCAATAATCGTCCATGATTTACACTAGCCAACTCGCGTTTTATAGTGATGAGATTACTTCCTAAACTTTTAAAATGGTTCTAGTCATTAAGTTATACATATTACAATACTTCAAAACTCTTTCTTGTACCAGAACAAAAAACAGTACAATCTTCTAAACTTAAAAGGCTACAACAATATTGTTACGTCTCTGGTCGTTGGTTAATTTTTCTTAAAAATTATTTCCGAGAAACTCCAGCGATACAAGTTTTTTCTTAAATAAAACTAGTTTATTCTTTCTCAATACACTTAATTTCCACAGTTACTTTAACTTAAACACACGCTATAATTCACAACGAACGATTCACGAACTTTACTTACTACCGCGCTTGACTCAATTGTCCGTCTCTATCTCTGCCTGTCTGCAATTCTATTCCGATTCATTGTCTGGCGCGCTTATATATTAGAATACAGCATATCTAGCAAACACTCTAGCATTCACGAACCTTCGAGATACTCATTACGTGTTACCAGAGTCACGTGACTTCCGCTGTCGTGACAATATTTATCTCCTAGGATTTTTTTATCAGATTCTGACAACTTTAAGAACATCATTTGTGTTGGTAGCTTCCTGTGAAGTTAGGCACTTCAAATTCCGTGTCTCCCAGTGGAAGAGCGGTGAGTTTACAGCCTTACAACGCTAAAATCCGGAGTTGATTCCCCACTGTGGACAACGTAGCTTTGCTCTAAAAACAAACAAACAAATAACGTTTAACCCTACATGTCTTCCAATCGCTAAGTGAGTTTGAAGGTGAACATATTCGCGCTCTGAGTTTGATAACACCGTATGAAGGTTCATTACAACAAAGACTGTTGTCAGCCAGAAGATATGGAATAAAACTATTGATAAAAAGATGCTGATTGAGGGCTAATTATCTGTTAATAAGCATTAAACTCACAGTTTTTATCGAGAAAGTAATCGCCATGTTTTTTGTAGGAGCTGAATTGATCTCGGATCTCCCAAAGCTAGACAAAGAAATAGTAAACAACAACCTCCAGACAGATGGTACAATGCATGGCCTTCATTCATCATCACCTAATCCTCCGACCATCACTACAGATACAAGCGTGTCTGATGAATCTGTCAGGAACAGTTTTGCCTACCAACCATCAGAAGAAAGAGTTATTAGAAACAGTCAGACTTGCACAGAAACTCTTTTAACATTCAGGTAATTTTCATGCAAGTTTCTTCTCGCGAAATATATTGAATATTCGGTTTCATTTTAGAAATAAATTCACATTTCTCTAAACAGCAGAAGTGATTTTTGAAACATCCGACATATATGTCTTAACTTGCATGACTTTCTCACTTTCCTTATTAATAGTAGTTTGTATATGTACACTAGCTGGAAAAAGTTGGGACCCACGCCTCTTCTGCCTTATGTATTAGGGTCTGATGATAAATTGGAAAACATTTCTATGTAATTAGTTATTATTAACTTAGTGAAAATAAGACATTATAACCCGAAACAGAGTAATCAGTAGCGTACTGAAATGGAAAGTATTTGCTAAATTGTCTTGTTCAAATTGATATTAATATGTTTGTTTTTTACATTTTTAAAGTTTACTTCTATTGATTTCCTTGCTTTGCAGAAGGAGGCGACAACCTGATGATACAATACAAGTACTAAGCTGTTTGTACGCCAAGCTTTTGGTAATGGTTACTTTAGTATTGGTGCTTACAGAAGTTTTGGACAATGATGTAAACTTACATTTTTTTCACGTAAGTTTCATCTTGAATTGATTCAAATGAGTCGACAAGACTTTGTGAATGATTTCAAACTTTCCAACTATAATATAAACTGAAATGTGCCAAGATAAAGAAATATTTGAAATATTAATAAATGCTTGTTTTTCATTATCGTAAGCACAAAACGTTGTCATCAGATTTGCACTTACTTCTTGATTCAAGATAGCTTACCCAATTTTTGATCAGGTAACAATAATTGTTGAAAGTATTTTTTGTTAAATATTTTTTTCGAAGTACTTATTTTAGTCTGTGTTATCATCGCCGTTTCGGTTGTTTCTTTTACACGTGATAACAGATTCGTATATATTGTTGCGTATCTGCTTGTTTGTTAATTTCCGGTATAAATTCATTCCGAGGACCTTCTTGATTAAAACTAGTTTATTCTTTCTCGATACAAACTTTTAGCACACAGTATTTTCACAATCAGTACGTTTCTAAACTTAACTACTTTTATAATACACGCTATAAATCACAGCGATTCACAATCTCGAAAACATACACTAGCTCGAAACAGAATCGTAAATTACCTGGAACTCTCTTCATTCATTCCCGCAAGCTTTTCTGCCAGACTTATATACTAAAAAACAGGGCGTCTAGAACAAACTCGGTCTTCCTCGATAATTCATGATCATTCGAGAAATTAATCGCGTATTACCAGCGTCACGTGACTTTCGCTGTAGTAACACTGCCTCTTCCTTAGTATTGTTCGTCCCGAAAAATAGCCACTTACATTAAACCAATAGACAATTAACAATAACTTAATTAAATGTACAGAATTTACAAACACGTGACTTCTGCTGCCGTAACAGTTGTAATGTTTTATAACATTGACCAGATTGTTTGGGATTATTGGGTAAATAAGCCGTTAAACCTTTTTCCGGCTAAACGACAAACATCTAGATCATAGGCTACAACTCAATATTTCCTAGATGTCTATTTGCTAATTCCATCCCTTACATTTTCGCCAAATTTTAATATATTTGCGTTTATTCAATTATGGGCGTTATATCTGCGTTGCTATCAAATTAAGGTAACTGAAAATCTTTCAGACAACACTTAGAACCTTGTATTCTGGTTCAGTACTTTAGTGGGAACACATAGTACATCCAATCCTCACCTCTTGTCCAAGTGAAGTATAATTTGATGTTAAGCCTTCATTTTTCTAAAGTTTTCATTCGTTTTCTATAAATAATAGATCGCAACTTACAAACTGACAGTAATTAATATTCTCAAAAGGTTGTACTTGAATATTAAACAGACATTGAAAATCTGTGTAATCAATATGTAAGTGGACAAAGTTAAATATTTCATTTGTATTTTATAATGAAATAAATTAGTTTTTGTGTTCTCATTATCTGCACCTGTTATTCTTTAGGGCTATATTTTCACCTACTTGTTAGGCGGTGCTGTGATCTGCTTATTGTATATATACATCGCCATGATGTTAAACAAACATCCTGGGTTGACTGGTTCTGCCTCATCAGCTATAGAGGGCACTGTTGACCCTGAGACGATTGTAATGAGACGGAGGATTTCCTATTATTCATCAGATATAAGTATTTATCTACGAGTAGGGTCCTTAGGTAAGACAAGTTCAAAATATTTTTCTGTCAGTTTAAGAATTGAATAATTTCCGCCATTAATTAATTTATACACTTGCTTAACTAGTTCATTTCATCCTACTAGTGTATGCTAGAAGTTTTAAATTATTGTTCTTGGAAATTTTTTGCAAAAAAAACCAAAAAAACCGTCCATTAGTTTTATAGTTTTTCAAAAAAAATCACGTTCAAATGAAATGCTGATGGAATAGTTCATTATATATTTGATATAATATTATTGGAATTTATATGGTAAGTTTTCTTTTTAATATTAAGATATTCCACAAGATGGCAGCACACTATAAAATGTCATTTCAATTCCTTAAAATTGTTAAATATTAAAGAAGATATTAACATTTCTCATTTTTTAATACCTTAATTACTTATATTACAATATCCCCACCGAAAAAAAATATCATGGTTAATGTAAAGACAGAACCAATCACAAATTTGGGATTGACCAAAACTAAGTTTAGCTTTCACTGAGATTATGAAAATGTACGACCAATATAACGAATTGCATTACATCCGGTGTGCCAGTCCAGTTTGTTTCGGAAGAGAAATCCAAGCACACCAGTACTTAAAGCTGTATAAATCCAAGCACATTTTTACTTAAAGATGCATAAATCCAAGCACATTTTTACTTGAAGCTGTATAATTCCAAGCAATTTGTACTTAAAGCTGAATAAATCCAAGCACATTTCTACTTAAAGCTGTATAAATAAATCCAAGCAAGCTTGGATTTATGCAGCTTTAAGTACAGATGTACTTGGATTTATTCAGCTTTAAGTAAAAATTGCTTGGAATTATACAGCTTTAAGTAAAAATGGGCTTGGATTTATAGAGCTTCAAGTACAGATGGAAACAGCCTATATCGTCTTAGTACCAAAGTTAAAGTAATTCAGACAGTCTATATCGTCTTAGTACCAAAGTTAAAGTAATTCAAACAGTCTATATCGTCTTAGTACCAAAGTTAAAGTAATTCAAACAGTCTATATAGTCTTAGTACCAAAGTATAATTCAGTGAAACTGATTATTTCCACTTAGTTTAATTCTAAACTTATACTGGCAGGTAGTAAAGAAAAGTTAGGACGAAATACAGCTTTAAGTAAAAATATGCTTGGATTTATTCAGCTTTAAGTAAAAATGTGCTTGGAATTATGCAGTTTTAAGTAAAAATGAATTACTTTAACTTTGGTACTAAGACGACATAGACTGTCTGAATTACTTTAACTTTGGTACTAAGACGATATAGACTGTCTGAATTACTTTA